GAGTTCAATGCCAGCCTGGGCTACACAGTGAGAGTCTGTCTCAGTCATCATCTCTGGACCTAAGTACCATTTGTGAAAGTGGGTCAGTCATAATCCCGCTTTGGCAGGTTTGATGTGGGGATTAGATGAGGAAAAAACCATAAAAGCACTTGATGAATTCTAAAACACTATACAAATGTTAGGTATTCTTAGAAAAAGCTAAAGAAAGAAAAAAAAAAACAATAAAGAGCTTCTTGGGGGAGGCTTAGTAACTGATTATTGGACCTGCTTTCCTGTCATCTAACTGTAACCAGTAACACCCGAGATGGAATGAGTCCCTCATTCCTTCTCTTCTCTCCATCAGTACATAGAATCAGAGAGGGCACATGAACCCCGCACACGCACGCATGCACATACACACACACTGGGGGAGGAATATCAGAGAGGTCAAGAGAAGAGCTATGGATGCACACTACAGAATTCTGTGACCAGTGGTGCCACTCACTGCTTGATGACCTTGGGACTGTCCTTACCTTTCAGGACTTCAGTTTCTGTTTTGGGAGGTATGGGGGTGAGACAGGGTTTCTTTGGGTAGCCCTGGCTATCCTGGAACTAGCTGTGTAGACCAGGCTGGCCTGGAACTCACAGAGATCTTCCTGCTTCTGCCTCCTCTCAGCTATTGGGATTAAAGGAGTGTGCTGCTCCTCCCAGCATTTGTATTATTATTGTTTTGTTGTTGTTGTTTGTTTCACAAGACAGGGTTTCTCTGTGGTTTCTCTGTGTGTAGCCCTGGCTGTCCTAAAACTCAACTCTGTAGACCAGGCTGACCTCAAACTCATAGAGCTCTGACTACCTTTGCCTCCCAAGTGCTGGGATTAAAGTGGTGCACCACCACCTAGCAATTTTTTTTTTTTTTTTTTTTGGTTTTTGAGACAGGGTTTCTCTGTGTACCAGCTTTGGCTGTCCTGAAACTCCCTCTGTAGACTGGGCTGGCCTCAAACTCACAGAGATCCTCCTGCCTCTGCTTCCTGAGTGCTGGGATTAAAGGCATGCACCTGGTCTAGTTTCCTTTTTTTTTTTTTTTTTGGTTTTTTGTTTTGTTTTGTAAGACAGAGTTTCTCTGTGTAGTCCTGGCTGTCCTGGAACATACTATGTAGACCATAATGGCCTCAAAGTCACTGAGGTCTGCCTGCCTCTGCCTCCCAAATGCTGGGATTAAAGGTGTGTCTGCCTCACTGCCCCGATAGTTTCCTTATTTTTAAAGAAAAGTCTGGGCTGGGCATGGTGACTCACACCTGTAATTCCAGTATTTGGAAAGTAGAGGCAAGAGAAACTGAGGCCAGCTGAGGCTACAGAATGAGACCTTGTTTTAGAAACCAAAGGGTCCAGTAGAAGAAGTTTAGCAGTTGTTAAGTGCTTGCTTAGCATTCACTAGGCCCCAGGTTAGGTCTCCAGAACTGTTTCACACTGGGCAAGGTGGGTCATGCATGCCTGTAATCCCAGCACTTGGAAGGTAGAGGGAGGGTGAGGTCTTTTTAGAAACAAATCAAGTTTGAAAGCCTGGCGTTTGTGGTGCACTCCTTTAATCCCAGCACTCGGGAGGCAGAGGCAGGCAGATCTCTGTGAGTCTGAGGCCAGTCTGGTCTACAGAGCGAGTTCCAGGACAGTCAAAGCTACACAGAGAAACCCTGTCTCAAAACACACACACACACACACACACACACACACACACACACAATGGAGGAAAGAAATGAAGAAAGTCTAGGTTATGGGCCACAGAGATTTCCTGAGGGTTTTTCCCTCCAGTTCCCTTCTCTTCCCCACACCCTTTATGCTCCCACTTAATTTCCACAGCAGAATGGCTTGCAGAGCCATCCATAAAAGAAGCAAAGTTTTAGCAAGCAGTCCCCATGGCTTCACACACACTTGGTGATCTGGGGCATCAGACTGTCAGAGACAAAGATAAAAGAGAAGGAACCGGTAGGGCTTGTCTCGGGTGAGATCTCTTCAGTGATGGCTGTGGTGTCATGGCAGCCCATCCTGCCCAGCAGGAGCTTTGTTCTTCTTCCAAGAATCACACCGTGACAGATCTGAGGAAGCTGCCTTAGACAGCCCTGACTCTGGACAGCCAGTTATGGTGACTAAATGGGAAAAGGAGGCCAGTGAGATGGCTCAGAAGGTAAAGGCATTTGGCACCAAAACTGACGACCTGTTCCATCCCTGGGACCCACATGGCGGAAGGAAAGGACGGACTCCCGCAAGTTGTCCTCTGAGCTCCATGCACACAAATACACACATGAAATAAGTGAGTATAATAATTTGTAAAACTTTTAGTGGGAAGCATGAGGTATAAAACATAGTGAAAACTGACACGGTGGCTCACACCTGTAATCCCAGGATTCAGGAGGTTGAGTCAGGATAATCACTGCGAGTTTAATGCAGCTTGGGCTACAGAGTGAGCATGAATATATCATAAACATACACATACATATACAGTGGTGGTTGTGTACAGGGTTAGCAAGAAGGCTCAGTGGGTAACAGCACTTGCCGCCAAGTCTGTCAACCTGAGTTCAAATGCCAGAACACAGGGTAGAAGCGGAAAACCGACTCCCACAGCTTTCCTTTGCCCTCCACATGTGTGGTATGTGGTGGCACATACATGCCTCACTCTCTGATACACAAATAGATGTAAAAACAAATAGGGTTGGGTACTTCGGGGTGTCTCCATTGCTAAAGTGCTTGCTGCATAACCATGCAGAATGGGGTGCAGCCCCAGTACTCATGTAAAAAGCTGGGTGCAGCCACATGCACCTATTAACACACAGAGAGAAACAGGAGGCGCTCTGGGGCTGGCTGGCCAGCTAGTCTAGCTGAACCATGAGCTCTGGGTTCAGTGAGAGACTTTCAGAAAAATTAGGTAAAGAATAATTGATGAAGATACCAGCTGTTGACCTTTGTTCCCCTCATCCCCACAGACACAGCTTCATAAGCACAGACACATAAAAAATGTAATAGTGAAATTTCATTTATTTTGTTTTTCTTTTTGAGACTGGGTCTCTCTATGTAGCTCTGGCTATCCTGGAGCACTCTATGTAGACCAGGCTGGCCTCAGACTCACAGAGATCCCCCTGTCTCTGCCTCCTGAGTGCTGGGATTAAATGCATTTGCCACCCATACCTGGCAAAACTTTAAATATTTACTGGGCTGGTGATGAACCATCCTGCCTCCATCTTGGGCTTGAAAGCCATCTTACAAAAAAGACAAACTAGGTTCATTCTTGTTCTGATTAAAGCTGTTTCTCAAGGGTTGGGCTATGCCTCACCCGCAACTTTACACAAGGTTCTGCACTGCCTGTTCTGGGAAACGGCAACCATATCTTTGTTTCAAAAAGTTGTTATGACTACTTTGTTATGTCTATTTTCTGCTTTTTTTTTTAAGATTTTATTTATTTATTTATTTATTTATTTATTATGTATACAGTCTTCTGCCTGCATGCCAGCAGAGGGCACCAGATCTCATTCAAGGTGGTTGTGAGCCACTATGTGGTTTCTGGGAATTGAACTCAGGACCTCTGGAAGAACAGTCAGTGCTCTTAACTGCTGAGCTATCTCTCCAGCCCCCTGTTTTGTTTTTTAAAGACAGGGTTTCTCTGTGTAGCCCTGGCTGTCCTAGAAATCACTCTGTAGACCAGGCTAGCCTCAAACTCAGAAATCTGCCTGCCTCTGCCTCCCGAGTGTTGGATTAAAGGAATGTGCCACCGTCATTGACATGTTCTGTTTCTATAACCCTACCATTTGGAAAACCCCTACCCCTGAGCTTTAAAAGTCTTTTCTTAAAACGTTGATCTCTTGAACCCCACTTTTTATGGGGAGGCAGCCTGTGTATACAATTTTTAAAAAGCTTGTTTTAATTAATTTTGCCATGATGATTTGGGTCGGTGGTCTTTCCCCTTGAATCTTTGGAATTAATTCTGACAAGATGGCCGAACAGGTAAAGATGCTTGTAGTCAAAACCTAACAACCAAAAGCTGGAGAAATGTCTCATCAGCTAACAGAACTAGCTGTTCTTCCAGAGGACCTGGGTTCCGTTCCCAGCACCTACATGTCAGCTCACAACCATTCATAACTCCAGTTCTAGGAGATCTGACACTCTTCTGGCCCTCTTGGACACCAGACATACAAATGCAAATTTAAAAAATGGGAAGAGCTGCATTTAATTCCAGGAGTCAGGAGGCAGAGGCAGGTGGATTTCTGTAAGTTCAATCACAGCCTGGTCTACATAGTGAGTTCCAGGCTAGCCAAGGGTACATAATGAGACCCTGTCTCAAAAACCAAACAAACAAAACAAATGAAAAGGGAACAGTATGAGAGTGACTAGTTCCCACAAAGAAGGGAAGGAGAAGTTGGGATATAGAAAGATGGAGTGGTGGTGGCATCAGGAACACACTGCCAGGACATGCAGTGTGCCCTATAGTGTGCCCATGGCAGTTGCTGCCAGGAGGCCAAGTGGGGCAGAGGGTGGAGAGACGGACATGGATTCATCTGCTGTTGCTATGGAGCCCCAGGCTGGATTTGCCCATCTCAACTAATGGAGCAAAGGGGAGAGGAAGGAGGGAGGTAGACAGAGAACAACTGGTCCCCTCCCTTCCCCTCTTTTATCTCATCTCTGGAGCAGATGTGGGGTGCATGTGTTTGGATTGGCGGGTATCTGCACACTGGATCAGAGGTAGAGAAAAGAGTAAGTAGTATGTCAGGATTAAGCGGCTTTTGAGATGGGGTGGCATGCCGAGTGAGGAGGGGCAGGGCCATCGTACCTGTGTCCAGAAGCTAACTGATAACATTAGAGAGGGGAAAAAAACAAAACAGGCTAGATGGTATTAACATGAGAGAGCGGAGGAAGGGAGGGAGGGAAGGGAGGGAAGAGGTGTGGAGACAGACTATATACCAGCCTCTGCCTGCATTCTTGGAGCCACCCAAACCTCTAGGCAGCCTGGATTCCAAGGATATGAGAGCTGCCGAAGAATGGGCACCAGGGCAGTGGTCGCCCCTTCTCTTGTTTGGGGGCTGCTGAGTTGCTTTTTCCTCTGCAACTGGGCTCTGGGAAGCCAAAGGCCCTTTCGCTCTCTGCCTCCACTACCCTCCCAAGCTGGGCCAGGACCTGGCCCCACGTGGAAGCCCCCACAGAGGGCCGAAGCAGCCCTGGCTTTTCTCTACTCCGGCGATGTTCAACAACTGTCAGGGGCTAATTGCAGTGAGAGTTATGAAGTTCGTGGGACAGAAGGGAAAGTGGGGATCCCCCCAGTCCTACAGAGAGCAGCGGGCACCCTGGCCCAAGCTGCCAATTTTCTCAACATGCTTCTACAAGCCAACGACATCCGGGAGTCGAGTGTGGAGGAGGATGTGGAGTGGTACCAGGCACTTGTCCGAAGTGTGGCCGAGGGGGACCCAAAAGCCTACAGGGCTCTACTGACTTTTAACCCCCCACCAGGGGCCAGCCACCTTCCGCTGGCCTTGCAGGCCACCCGGATGGGGGATGAGACTGTCCTTCAGGACCTGTCTGGGAACAGGGTACAGGAAGAAAACCCAGAAGAGGACCTGGACAACCCTGTTCTGCAGAAGCGAGTACTGACCAACGACCTAAGGAGTCTTGACAGCCCCAAGTGGCCACGAGGGGATGGATATGTGGGTGACATACAGCAGGTGAAGCTGTCTGCTCCCTTCCTGGAATGCCATGAGGGTCGGTTCCGTCCTGGCTGGCTAGTCACAGTCTCGGCCACATTCTATGGACTCAAGCCAGACCTCACCCCGGAAGTCAGGTAAGTGGGCTTGGGAAGGACTTGATGGATGCGGGGGACGCAAGTTTGCTGCACTATGCACAGACCATTTGGCAAGAATGTGTATGTCTGTGGAGGGCGGGCACAGGTGTGTGTGTGTGTGTGTGTGTGTGTGTGTGTGTGTGCGCGCGCGCGCGCGCGCGCGTCTGCGCACACACGTATTCAGCTGTATATATCTATAACTATTCATTAACATTCTCAGGTGTGAGTGTGCTTGTTGTATATGAAGCAACATATATATATGAACATCTATTTGTGTATGTGTGTATCTTCATTTTGTTTTTTATTTTGGTTTGGTTTTTGGTTTTTGAGACAGGGTTTCTCTGTATAGCTTTGGAGCCTGTCCTGGAACTTGCTCTGTAGATCAGGCTGGCTTCAAACTCACAGAGATGCACCTGACTCTGCCTCCCGAGTGCTGGGACTAAAGGTGTGTGCCACCAACACCCGGCTTTTCTTTTTTTTTTTTTTTTTTTTTTTTTGTTTTTTTCGAGACAGGGTTTCTCTGTATAGCCCTGGCTGTCCTGGAACTCACTCTGTAGACCAGGCTGGCCTTGACCTCACAGAGATCCACCTGACTCTGCTGCTTGAGTGCTGGAATTAAAAGTATGTGCTACCATTGCCGAGCTTTATTTTGTTTTCTAAGTTTCTCATGAGGCCAGAGCTAACCTAGAACCCTGATCCTCCCGTCTCCACTCTCCAAGTGCTGGGATCACAGGCATGCTTATGTCTTGATGTTGTTCATATGTTGAGGACAACGAGTGAAAGTCTATGAGCACGTGCACACACAGGTATCTACACACACATCCATATGTGGATATGTGTGTGTGTGCAGATGGGTGAGTATACAAAGAGACAGGTCTTGGCTCTCATGGCTCTCAGGTCTAAGGTATAAACAGAAAAGGTAAGAGAGAACTTGATAGCCTGCTGGTGATGGCACATACCTTTAAAGCTAGCACTAAGGAGGCAGAGGCAGGCAGATGTCTATGAGTTCAAGGCCAGCCTGGTCTACAAAGTGAGTTTCAGGACAGCCAGAGCTGTTATACAGAGATACCCTGTCTAGAAAAATGAAAGAGAGAGAGCTTAATTACAGTAATAATCCATGTTCCTGGCTTCTCAGAGGCACCAAAAACATGGCCACTCCACGAGGCTTCCCAGGGGAAGAAAAACTCATGGACAGGGGTTTGGAACTAACACCCTTTGGTCCAGGAGTTGGCTGAGTCCCCAGCGTCATTACCAATGACCAGGCTCTTAGTGGAGCTGAACCCATTATCCTCTGTTCCCTGCCACAGTACTCTGTGATATTCCTCAAAGAACTGACTCTCACTCAGCTAGGGTAAAGGACCAGTAGTCCTACTGGGAAGCAGGCGCAAAGGAACACAGCATGGCTGGGCATGCAGCAGTCAGCATTGCTTTCTCAGCCCTCTGCCCTCATGCATTGTTCCCAGCAGGGCTCCCCGTTCTGTACACAGGCATCCTGGCTCCTTGCCAGAGCCCTTCCAATTCAGTCACAACAGGGCTCCTCCATTCCAGGACTCCTTTGCTGTGATGAGTTCAGACCTGGTATGCATGGGCAGAGTAAAGAGGGGGTAAACAGCTGAGCTGCATACGTCCTGTGTAGATGCAATGGGCAAGGGTGAAAAGATGCCTGGGCTCTGCCTGTCTTGACATGTCTGTTCCTTCTACCCACTGATGAAAACCAGAAGGTGATAAGATGCTGAATAGTGGGGAAGTGGGGAATACAGCCTAGTGGGAGGGGAGGGGACTGTTGCCACAGAGACAGGGCTAATGGCACTGGAGATCCGCCTTGTATGTGTGCAATGCTGCCCCTGTGCTAATGCGTGCAAAGACTGCACTACCCAGTAATGCAGTGACTGCCTCAGCATCCCCACTGTGCCCCTAACTGCCAATTTGCCTCCCTAGGGGGCAAGTGCAGATGGACATCGACCTCCAAAACGTGGACATCAATCAGTGTGCAAGCGGCCCAGGCTGGTACTCTAACACCCACCTGTGTGATCTCAACAGCACTCAGGCAAGGAGGATGGGTCCATGGAGCCCTGCCTTCATTCCCTTTTCCCATCACTGCACCCCACTCAGCTCCCAGGAGCAGCTGACGAAGCCACCCTGACATCTCAGGGCTTCAAGAGATCCCAAGTGATTGGCAGAGGTGAAATGGCAGGCTCTTGTAAAGGGAGGCCAATGTACAGCCTATCTTATACCTTCTAGCTCTTCCAAAGAAAGCCACTCCTCATGCCCGAGAAACTTCAATGTGCTCCGTGTTTGCCCTCGGTCTGGTCCTCAGCACTCCAGGGTTCCTCTGTAAGGGCAACTCCTGAGCCTAGCCTGCTTTCCCTTTCCCATAGTATATCAACACAGCTCTGAGCGCCTCATGGTCCACAGAGGATGCTCCATTGGTATTCACCGAAGTAAATACAATTGCTGGCTGGGTGTAGGAGGAGCCTAACCAAATGAAAAGGGTCCAGGACTGTGAAGGTGACAAACTCCAAGCCATATGCAGAATAAAACCGTTTGCCTCACAGATATCTGTTTTCAGCCATGTGTTTAATAACCCTGCTCATCTCTGAGGTCATGCGTTGTCCACTGCTGAGCAAACATCAATAGGAGGAGACAGAATAGAGCTAAGCTTGGCATCCCACCAGCCTGGCATTATGCTGAGGAAAGTAGTTCCATGTTAACACCAGATAAGTCCTGATAGATAAGTTGCCCCTCCATGAGGGTCTTTTGTTGTTGTTTTGCTTGAGTTTTTTCTTTTCTTTCTTTCTTTCTTCCTTTTCTTTTTTCTTTTTCTTTTTTTTTTTTTTTTTTTTTTTTTTTTTTTTTCCTTTTTTTTTTTTTTTTTTTTTTTTTTTTTTTTTTTTTTTGACAGGGTTTGTCTGTGTAGCCCTGACTGTCCTGGAACTTGCTCTGTAGTCCAGGCTGTCTGGCTTCAAACTCACAGAGATTTGCCTGCCTTTGCTTCCCAAGCCACCACTGCACTGCCATGATTTTTTTTTTTTTAACTTACCTGTCTTAATTAGAGTTACTGTTGTTGTGATGGATCACCATGAAGGAAAACGTGTGTTTTCATATATGTTTCCATATAACCATTCATCAAGAACAGGGGAGGCAGGAACTCAAGTCGGGGAGAAACCTGGAGGCAGGAACTGATACAGAGGCCATGGTGGGTGCTGCTTTCTGCCTTGCTCAACCTGTTTTTGTTTATTTGTTTATTTGGTTTTTTTTTGTTTTGTTTTGTTTTGTTTTTGAAACAGGGTTTCTCTGTGTAGCTGTCCTGGAAGCTACTTTGTAGACCAGGCTGGCCTCAAACTCACAGAGATCCACCTGCCTCTACCTCCCAAGGCATGTGACACCACCGCCTGGCCACTCAGCCTGCTTTCTTATAGAACCCAGGACCACCAGCCCAGGAATGGCCCCATAACCGTGGGCTAGGCCCTCCCCCATCAATCACTAATTAAGAAAATGCCCTACAACTGGATCTTATGAAGGCATTTTTTTTAATTGAGGTTCATATCATTTCCAATAACTCTAGCTTCTGTCAAGTTGACATAAAACTAGCCAGCACAGCACCTATATCCCCAGTGGGGCAGCTCATGGGAACTCTTTGAAGAAGGATGTAGGCACATGAAAGGTTTGATTGGGCTCTGAACTCTCCCTATCATCACCTCCCTAACCCAGTACCCAGCCCTAGCAACAGCTTAGACATCAGGAAATGGGGCGTGAGGCTCCTGTTACTGCCAATCTGAACAAAAGAGCTATGTATCCTGTGCTCTTTTCTTGGATACTCCTTGAAAAGACCTAACAGCAAGTATCGGGGAGTGGGTAATGGGGAGGTTTCCAGAGGGGGGAGGACTGGGCAAGAACTGAAAAAAGCTTCTGGTGAATTCTCTTAATATAAACCCAGAAGACATGGATGGAAGGAGCTCTTCCCAGTAGGGAAAGCTTTCAGGGAAGAAAAATATCATACAAACAAATGCCATTTGTCATCCCTACAGTGTGTCCCTCTGGAGAGTCAGGGTTTTGTCCTTGGTCGTTATCTCTGTCGCTGCCGACCTGGATTCTACGAGGCTAGCGGTTCTGGGGGTATGTAAGTGTGGAGAGGGCTAAGCAGAGGTTTTGCAAGCCAAGGTAAGTTGGGGTAGAACGTGTATGGGTGAAAGGTAGATTTAAGGTGACCCCAGGAGGAAGTGGGAGTCTACAGGTGCAAGTGGTGCATACCTATGGTCTCAGCACTTGGAAGGCTGAGGCAGGAGGATTGCCATGAACTCAAGGCCAATTTGAGCTATATATTGAGACCATGTCTCAAGAGAAAAGTGTGGGTGGTGGAGAAAGAGAGAGAGAGAAGATCAGGGTGGGCTATTTGTAGGTGTCTACATTCTGAGAATGAACCCAAACACACAGGTATGAGGCAAGTTAGCCTCTGAATGAGCCTTAGCCTAGCATCTTCCTGTTATCCTGTCCTTAATGGGGCATAACCTTTGCTCTCATTCCTGGGGCCATAGCTAAAGGAGAGCATGTAGCCCTCAGGATCCAAGGCTAGAACCTCAGATATCTCTAGCCAAGCTCTCCTTATACCCATCTTGTCCTTTGTAGGGTTAGAGGAGAGTGCAACTCAGACTGCTGGGCAATTCGGGTCACCACAAGGCAGCTTAGGGAAGCTGATGAGGTGCCAGCCATGTCCTGAGGGCTGCTCAAGCTGTCTGGATGCCACACCATGCCTCGCGGAGGAAGCCCTGGCACTGAGGGCAATAGTGCTGGCCTGCCAGGCCTGCTTCATGCTGGCTGTCTTCCTGAGTATGCTGGTCGCCTACCGTTGCCGAGGGAGCAAGGCAAGAAGGCCCACATCTCTCTTCTGTGCACACATCTAACCCATCTCAACTAGAGAGCTACATCTTGGGAGAATGGGTACAAATCTTGCTTCTATGCCTGGATGTGTGACATCAGGCAGTGACCTCTCTACCTTCGACCTGTTTCCTCATCTGCAACATTGTATTTGATTCAACAAATACTAGTTGAATGCCTACTACAGAGGCACTCTGCAAGAGAGAAGCAATCTAGATCCCAATGGCATGGAGGAAGCAATGAGACAGGGACAAAGATGGGGAGGCTGTCGGGTGCTGTGGGAGCTCAGAGGAGGGACCCAGTTACCCTGGAGATGACACTGGAGAGGTTTGAGAAAAAGTGATAGGTTAACTGGTTTTTACTGAGCAATGAAGAGGAATCTTGTTCTAGACCAAGGTATAGTCTGCCCCAAAGCTTGGAGGGATGCCAGAGGCCCTTCCTAGCTCTAGCAGCCTTGGGTGTGAGCCCAGCATGGCCCTTGGTGCAAGCTTAGCTAGACCCTGGGGGTGAGGCTGGAGCAGTGGCTGAGAACAGGGGAGGAAGCCAGGCTTGGTGCTCTCAGCACCCTGCTCACACCTTTCTCCCCTGGGCTCACAGAGGATCCGGGCATCTGGAATCTTCCTGTTGGAAACCATCCTTTTTGGATCCTTACTTCTCTACTTTCCTGTGAGTGTGACCAGTGGTTGGCCTTACTTCTTAGTGTCCCCCACTCCCAAACTGTCACCATCCTCCAGAATCCTTTTCTGCCTTCTTAGGAAGATTTGGCCACTTTAAATTCCCCCTACCAGTTGTGGGTGGCACATGCCTTTAATCCCAGCACTTAAAGGCAGAAGCAGGTGGTTCTCTGTGAGCTGGAGGACAGCCTGGTCTACAGAGTTAGTTCCAGGACAGCCAGGGACACACAAAGAAACGCTGTCTCAAAAAAAATAAATAAATAAATTCCCCCTACCTATTCCCACAAATGGCATGCTGGCCCAGTGAGCTCTGGAGGCAGAAACCCAGACTCAAAAGAATTTTCTGACTTGCTGGTGCAATTTAAGGCAAGTTGTCTATCTACCCTTCAGATACTTAGCTACAGCTCTGCAAAAGGGAAGTGTGAGTCCTCCACTGTAGGGCTGCTGGGAAGACTAGTCATGTAAGTGACGGGAGTGGAGGAAAGGCAGAGCAGAGAGCGGCTGTTTCTATGTCCTTGCCATCAGGTGTTCATCCTGTACTTCAAGCCCAGTGTGTTCCGCTGCATTGCTCTCCGCTGGGTCCGGCTGCTGGGTTTTGCTGTCGTCTATGGAACTATTATCCTGAAGCTTTATAGGTAGGGACTTGCAGACCTTGACACTGCTCTGCTCACCCCAGGCCACCCAGCTCATTCACAAAGGGAAGTTTTACAAAGCCAAACCTTCCCCTGTACTCCCTCAATCACTCAGCTTTCCCCTTCCAAGTAACTTTTGAAAAGATCAGGAGAGGTAAACACAAGGAGGGCTGGGAAGCAAATGGACAGAACTCAGGGTTCTGGCCCCATCCTCAGTCCTCCCCTTACCACCCTCAGGGTCCTCCTGACATCCCCCATGTACCTTACTCCCCTCAGGGTGCTCCAGCTGTTCCTGTCTCGAACAGCCCAGCGGGGTCCACATCCAAGCAGTGGGCAGCTGCTGCGGCGCCTGGGGCAGCTCCTGCTGTTGGTGTTGGGTTTCTTGGTTGTGTGGACAGCCGGAGTCCTGGAGCCAGGCATCCAGCACACACCTCTAGTGACCCGAGGCCACACTCCCACCGGCCGCCACTTCTACCTCTGTCACCATGACCACTGGGACTACGTCATGGTTGTTGGTGAGCTGCTTCTGCAGAGCCAGCCTCCTCCTGGCCCGGGCTGCTCTCCTCCAGGGTGTTCTTGAGCTGGTCTGGGCTGCCGGGGCACACTTGGTTTTGGAGAGGGTCAGCAGGCTACTGAGGTAATCAGGGGTCTCCCTTTCTCCCGCTCCCCCAGCGGAAATGCTGCTGCTGTGTTGGGGCAGCTTCCTCTGCTATGCCACCCGCGCTGTGCCCTCAGCCTTCCACGAGCCACGCTACATGAGCATCGCCATACACAACGAGCTGCTGCTCTCTACTGTCTTCCACACAGCCAGGTGAAGACGAGCCCTTCTTCCTGAGACTCCTCCCACCCTGCCAATGTTCCTTACTCCTAGTAAGGGGGTCCATCTAACGGTGATCCTTACAATGCTATGTCCAGAAGGGTAAAGAATGGCTCCCTGTATCTCATTCAGGAGAGATACCCAACCCACAAGAAGTGTGTCTCATTCCTAATGGCCTGTCTTCAGCCCTGAGTGTTTTCTCTCCGGCCCTGACCCCTTCCTTACTCCTCAGCTTTCAGAGCAGCAGGCCTGCTGTGTATTTATGGGGACATGGCCTTGTGGTTGAGGAAGAAGCAAACTACAGGGTTTATCCTAATAGAGTCCTGGGCACAGTTCTGTTCTGTAACCTGGGCAGGCAGAAGCAGTGGGTGGAGTCATTTAGGAGGACTTCTCAGAAGAGGGGATCAATAAGGACCTGAGATTACACCTGTAATCTAGAGAGGGAAGGGAGGGTGTCCTCCTGGCCAAATGCCAGGCTGCGGCGGGGGCGAAGAGCTGGTGTGGAGAGGTAGGCAGGCTGCTTCCACCTGCACTGATGATCTCTCTGTCCCATGTGGCCCTTAGGTTTGTGCTGGTTCCTTCCCTGCACCCAGATTGGACCCTTCTCCTCTTCTTCCTCCATACCCACAGTACAGTCACGGCCACACTAGCTCTGATCTTCATCCCAAAGGTAAGGTTTTTCCCCTATTGCATAAGGCAGGCCCTCAGCCCCTTGGTAAAGAACACTGTGAGCCTGCCACCTCAGCACCCTCTCCACACAAAAATGATGACCACCCCAGGCAAGGCCTTGGTTGGGAGAGGAAGCTCTTCCCTGCTTCACATTCCCACGCAAGCAACATAGAGCTACGGATGGAAGAAGGATTTGTTTGGTTTGGGTTTTTTGTTTTTTGTTTTTCTTTTCTTTTTTTTGGTTTTTCGAGACAGGGTTTCTCTGTGTAGCTTTGGAGCCTGTCCTGGCACTCAATTGCTCTGTAGACAGGTTGGCCTTGAACTCACAAAGATCCGCCTGCCTCTGTCTCCCGAGTGCTGGGATTAAAGGCGTGTGCCACTGATGCCCAGCTCTTTTCTTTTTCTTTCTTTTTTAAAAAAGATTTTATTTATTTATTATGTATACAACATTCCGCTTCCATGTATATCTGCACACCAGCAAAGGGCACCAGATCTCAAAACAGATGGTTGTGAGCCACCATGTGGTTGCTGGGAATTGAACTCAGGACCTCTGGAAGAGCAGTCAGTGCTCTTAACCTCTGAGCCATCTCTCCAGCCCAGCTCTTTTCTTTTTCTTTCTTTGTTTTTTGTATTGTTTTGTTTTGTTTTTGAGACAGGGTTTTTCTGTGTAGCCTGGTTGTCCTGGAACTCACTCTATAGACCAGGCTAGCCTCAAACTCAGAGATCCTCTTGCCTCTGCCTCCCAAGCACTGGGAATAAAAGCATGTGCATGCTACCACTGCCTGGATGTTTTGTTTTGTTTTAGACAGAGTCTCACTATATAGCTCTGGCTGTCCTAGAACTGGCTTTATAGACTAGACTGGACTTGAACTCACAGAGACTGCCTGCCTCTGCCTCCTGAGTACTGGGATCAAAAGTGTGCACCACACTACCTGGTATCCTTTTAATCCAGCTGCTAGACTCTGAAGATGTGGGGAACAGCCAATAGAGGCAGGTGGGAGAGCTGAAGGCCATGCCCAAGGGTGCTGTGCTGGTCACTGCTGAAGAATGACAGGGAATAGCATTCCCTGAAGCCTTGGATTCCAAATCACAGAAGGGTGAAGACTCACAAAGTAGAGGCAGAATAGGTGAGGGTAGGAGTGGGTAGGGTGCCATTGTGTTCCCATTACCGTCCACGCCTTCCCTCATCTTGGCTAGTTCTGGAAGCCAGGGGCACCTCCCCGAGAGGAGATCTTGGATGAAGTATATGAGGATGAGCTGGACCTGCAGCGCTCAGGCTCCTACCTCAATAGCAGCATTGCCTCAGCCTGGAGTGAGCGAAGCCTGGACCCAGGGGATATTCGGGTAGGTCCCCCTCCCCCACCCCAATTCCTTTGATATCAACTTTTAAGGACTACACAGAGGAAGACAGCTGTGCTGCCATGGGGCTACATACCCCTGAATTACCCAAAATCTTCCCTCCTCCAAGACTGCACCTCCCTTTTCTACCACCCTAGACCCCCGCCCCATCTCATACCACCCAAATGAAAAGAACTCCCAAAACCCAGATGCCCGGGCCCTGAAGGCCCAGGCCCAGTCAAGAGTGTACTTTTAATCCCCTGTTCTCATCATGGGGTGGGGACAGATGAGAAAAGCCTTGATTCCCTAGCGAAGTGGAGTGGCTAATGACCCTAAGAGTCAGCTGTGGGGACGAGAAAGTGCCCCTACAGCTGTACCTATGCATCTTCTTTGATTATGTTTTTGTTTTGCTTTTGTTGTTGTTTTGAGTCAGGGTTTCTGTTTAGTCCTGGCTGTCCTGGAACTCATTTGAGACCAGAATGGCCTCAAACTCAGAGAGCTGCCTGCCTCTGCCTCCCAAGAGCTGGGATTAAAGGTGTGTACCACCACACCTGGCACCTCTGTAATTTCTTTCTTTTTTTTTTTTTTTTTTTTTTTTTTTTTTTTTGGGGGGGGGGGGGGGGCGTGTTTCGAGACAAGGTTTCTCTGTGTAGCTTGGAGTCTATCCTGGCACTCCCTCTGGAGACCAGGCTGGCCTCGAACCCACCGAGATCCGCCTGCCTCTGCCTCCTGAGTGCTGGGATTAAAGGCATGCGCCACCAACGCCCGGTTACCTCTGTGATTTCTATGTAACAGCTCTGCTCACTTCCTTAGAACATTCTAGGAGGTTGAACTAGTGGATGGAGAATGTTACATGTCAGTGTCAGTGCTAACTTCCCTGCCATGAATTTCTCCCCAAACATCAACTCAAGAAGAAGCTGTGACCCAGAGAGGTCAATTCAATAGCTTTGATACACACTTGGTCCTGGGCTTTGAAACAAAGCCAGCCCTGTCCTGCATGCTGGTCATTCCCCAGGAGATCACAGTGCTCCAGAGAAGTGAGGGTACCCTGAACCCTCAGGGCCAAATGGATCCAACTCAGAACCAGGTTGGCTCTGGTCTCACAGGAACAGAGTGGTGAATTCTGAGTTTTAGAAACAGGAAAGGGGACAACTTGGTGGAGAAGTGATGCCACAGAGAAAATAGTTTCATGAAAGGCCAAGGGGGGAACAGCAATGTTGGTGGGGGTGGGCTCAGCACCTCAGAGGTGGCCCTGCTTCCCCGCCCCTTCCTTGCAGGATGAGCTGAAAAAGCTCTATGCCCAGCTAGAGGTGCGAAAGACCAAGGAGATGACTGCTAACAACCCCCACCTGCCCAAGAAACAGAGCAGCTCACACCAGGGACTGGGACGCTCTTTCATGAGGTACCTGGCTGAGTTCCCAGAGGCCCTGGCTAGGCAGCACTCTCGGGACTCAGGCTCTCCAAGCCGAAGCAGCCAGCCAGGCTCTTCTCGACGAAGGCTTCTCAGCTCCAGCCTTCAAGAAACTGAGAAACCACCAGCCCTGCGCAAGACCCGCAGCACCTATGACCACCACAGGAAGCATAACACACCTCTCCTTGACTCCACGCTGAGGAGGACCTTGTCCAAGAAGGCCTCGACAGCAGAGGGTCAAGTAGAGGGGCCCCCAGCCCTGGGCTTCAGGTCAGCCAGTGCTCACAACCTGACAGTGGGAGAAAGGCTCCCTGGAGCCAGGCCCATGTCCCTGCAGAAGTCACTAAGTGTTGTGGCTGGCTCCAGGGAAAAGGCTCTGCTTGTGGCCAGTCAGGCCTACCTGGAGGAAACCTATCGGCAGGCAAAAGAGAGAGAGGAGCGAAAGAAGGCTGAGGCAGCCATAGTGAGCCCAGTGCGGAGGCCGTCAGCCAGGAGGTTGGAGCGGCCTCTAAGGGCTCCTCTGTCAGCCCCACCTTCCCCTGCCAAAAGCAGCAGCATGGATAGCTCACATACTCCTGGGAGGCCTCACGAGGAGGCTGGGAGAAGGCTGCCTCACCCACCCATCCGGCACCAGGTCTCCACACCCATCTTGGCTCTGTCTGGGGCCTGCCTGGGAGAGCCAAGAATGCTGTCTCCCACCCCAACCTCCACATTGGCTCCTATTCTGTTGCCAGCTCTGGCCCCAACCCCCACCCCTGCCCTGGCACCAGTCCCAATGCCCCCCCAAAGCCCCACCCTACTCACTTTCATCTGCCCCTGGGAGAATGCAGAACTGCCAGGCAAGAAAGAAAAGGTGGTTCAGGAAGTCCCCACCAGGTCAGAGCAAAGCAGCCACTCATCTGCCTCAGCTCGTACCAAGATCTGGAGGGCCCTCTCTGTGGCAGTGGAGAAAAGGGGGACTGGGGAGAGTGAGAGGACCTCAGAGGATGGACATGTCCAGGGAGGAGATGATCATGTAGAGGAAGACAAGCCCAAGGCCTTCTCAAAGTCCCACAGCCTCAAGACCCCCCTGCAGCAGGGCTCCGTGCGCAGCCTGGGCCTGGCCATCAAAGCTCTAGCCCGGTCTAGGAGCACCTACAAAGAGAAGGAGGGTGGGGAGGGCAGCCCTGAGACTGAGAAGGAAAAGCCTATAGGGGTGAGCATGGGGGCTCCACCCCCATCTCCCAGGCTAGGCCGGCCCAAAGCAGTGAGTAAACAGGCTGCCCTCACCCCCTGTGAGGATGAGGAGTCCCTCCAGAACCAACAGAATGCTCACACCAGCAGAATGCTCCATGTTTTTCACAAAGAGGGCAGCAGAGGACAAGAAGATAGAAACAAGAGGGCATCGCAGGGCTTAGGGGAGCTGAGAGTTGAAAGAACTGGTAAAATAGGGCTTGCTACACTGAGGCAAGCTTTTGGGGACAAAAATACTGAACAAGCAAAAGAATCCTCTGTGGGAGACCAAGAAGTGACTGCTACTGCCCTCCAGCCCCTAGGCAGTGCTGACCACAGGGTGGCAGAGGTATGCCCCTGGGAAGTAACTCAATCAGGAATGTGCCAGCCAGAGAGTAACAACAAGGCCAAAATCTGCTCCTGGGAGGGAAATGAAGGAGGTCTGGAAAAGACACTATCAAGACAAGTTCCAAGTAGCTCCTGGGAAGAGAGGGAAAAAGCCCCAGAGGAATCAGAGCCCGAGGGTGTGGGTGCCATTACTCGGAAAAAGCCAGAGAGGCTGGTCCGAAGCCAGGAGGCAGTGTGTCCTTGGGAAAGTGCTGACACTGGAGGTCTGTCTCCTCAGCTGGCCCATCGGGACTCTGACAGAACTCAGGGCAGGTCTGTGGTAGTGGGCGGTACAGAGGTGAGGAAGGGAGAAAGGCCTACAGAGGTTCTTCCACCTGAGGCCAAGGCTGAGCTGTGCCCCTGGGAGCTGAGTGATGCTGGGGAGGGGACACTGGCCCAGAGAGTGAAGGGACTCCCTGAAGAAAGGCAGAAATCCCCCAAGAAGGCAACCGTCTGGAGAGAACAGAATCTGGGCAGAGACCTGGTGTCTCTCTGTCCTTGGGAAAGTACAGATTTTCGGGGTCCCTCAGCAGTCTCACTTCAAGCCCCGGAAAGCTCAGGGAATTTGGGCAGTGGTATTGCAGAGGTCTGCCCATGGGAGATAGGAGAAACATCGAATGACAAGAAAGCTGAGGTCTGTCCCTGGGAGCTGGGAGCAGGCACAGAAACACTGAATCATGGAAGAGATGGGGAATCTCTCCCAGGAAAGGAGACCACCTCCAGAAAGCAGTATTTGGGAGCGATGGGGGAGCAAGAGTCAGTGTGCCCCTGGGAGGATGCATCCCCTGGACAGTCCAGCCCACATCCAAACAACTCATCCAAGGCTGGTGGGCAGTTGCTAAGCAGTGGGGGCAGCCAGGCACTGCAAGTGTGTCCTTGGGAAGCATTCAAACCTGAAGAAAAGCAGGCAACACCTTCAATGGCAGAAATCTGTCCCTGGGAAGCAGATGGAAGAACCAAGGACAGGACATCAGAACCCACACCAAAAGGAGAAGAACTTCAAAAAGAGGAGAAAATACCTGGAAAAGCAAGAATCCAAACATGGGAAAAGGCTGAGGGGCAGACCCAGAAGCAGGAAGCAATCTGCCCCTGGGAGAGCATGGGCCCTAGTAGCATCCTACAAAAAGACACAGAGAAACTCCAAGTCACTCTCCAGAGACGAGGCAGTATAGGAGGCAAAGCTGCTGAGATCTGCCCATGGGATGTGGAAGAGAGATTGACAGCTGAGAAGGCCAAGATCTGTCCCTGGGAGGTGGGTGCTGGTGCCGGGGAGGAAAGGACTATGGGGGGAGCTGAAGCCTCTGGGATCTCTCCAAACGATACAGGTCAGACTTCTGCAGAGTCTGGACCCAGGCAGATAGCTGCTACTACTCCAAAGAAGACAGAGAGGCCAGGCCTGGAGGAGGTGGTCTGTTCCTGGGGCAGCTTGGGTCCAGGGGATTCTTCCCAGCAACCAGATATTCTGAGCACTGAGAAACCAAAAGATGGGCTCCAGGAACTGGACCATGTGGGCTCCAGGCCAACTGAGGTGTGTCCCTGGGAAGTAGAGGAAGTTCCTATCAGTGAAAAAGCCAAGATCTGTCCCTGGGAGGTGAATGAAGGAACCATGGTGAAAGGACTGGAGCAAGAGTTGGGGATCAAGCCAGCAGAGCAAGAGCCAAAGAATCTGGAAAAGGCGGAACAAGAAGAGGGGACATCAAAAGGGGATGCAAAACTCTGCCAGGAACAGGAAGCTATCTGTCCTTGGAAGGACCAGGACTCAAGGAAACCATCTGCCCCAGTCCCCAAGGTCTCAGACTTGCCTAGTAGCATCAGTAGTCAGAGATCAGAGGTACAGTCTTTGGAAGACAGTGACAGGGCAACAGAGAAGGGAGGCCTGAGACAAGACCTGAAGACCAGTTCCTTCCCAGAACACACAACCCAAGGAAAAGCTGCAGCTTTAAAATCACAGTTCCCTGTTGATGGGGGAGGAACAAGCAAGGAGCTCCAGTCTGTCTGTCCCTGGGAGAGCATGGTGCCAGCAAGTTCTTCCCTCCACCCACAAGGTCAGTGCTCTGACCAACCTAGAGCCGGCTCCCAGGTCAGTCCTGGCAGTGGGGTTGCTGAGGTTCCTGTCTCAGATCAATATGAGGTCTGTCCCTGGAAGGCGACTGGGAGAATTATGGAGACACAGACATCAGGACAGGGTAAAATGGAGGAATCTCAAGAGGAAAAAGAAGGAGCCCCTGAAAAACCAAAGCAAAAAGGTGCGTTAGTTCAGAAAACACCACAGACCAGCAACTTTGGGAAGCAGGAAGCTGTGTGTCCTAGGGGGAGTCAGGACTTTGGGATACAACCAGCCACAGGCGCTTCTGATGTAAACAAAAGCAGTTCTGAGAAAGTGGGCTGTGTGGGGGTCAGGATGGTAAAAGTGTGGCCTTGGGAAACAGAAGAGGGTCCCTCTGCCAAGAAAGCCGAGATCTGCCCTTGGGAAGCAAGTCCAGGAGCAGTGGGGGAGGGGACACGGGACCAGGGGCAGGACGGCAAGTCACAGGGGGATGAACAGGCTGAAGGACACTTTTTAGAAGTAGCAGAGGCAGTCTACCCCTCGGAAGGTGCAGCATCAGCAGGGCTCTTCCCCTGCACCCTGGACACGGACACCCTGGACCACCCTAAGGCCAGCCCCCAAGGAGCAAGCAGCCCAGGGAAAAGGCTAGCAGTACTATGTCAGTGGGAAGTCACAGACCCAGAAGGAAATAAAATCAAGGGCACAATGGCAGACATCTGTCCGTGGGAGGAACCCAGAGCCCCATCTGATGAATCTGGCTTCCTGGCTTTACCAACAACCCAGACAGATGTCCCTGCTACTCCTGAGAAATCACTCTGCCTCTCAGCACACAGACCTTTGGAGAGCTTTCTTCCACAGAGCAAGAGCCAACATCCAGAAGTGACCAAGCCACCCAGTGCTTTCCCTCTGGAAAGTGTCAAAGAACAAGGACCTACAGGACTTGAGCCCGGAACCAAGTCAGCTCCAGAGCCAAGTCTCAAGGATGCAGAGGCTCCCAAATCTTTTTCCTTAATTGAAGACCAAGGACAAATGGCTCCTGAGGCTCAAGATGAAGAATTTAGCCCTCCACCTGCTTACCCCTGGGACTGTGAATGACAGCACCACAGTGAGGTCAGAGCTCCTTCTGGACACTTCCCACATCCAGTTCCCAAAGAGCTGATTAAAAGACACTAGGCGACTTCCTCTCCCCAGGAGGCCAGATGGCAATTCATTCATTTATTCATTCGAAAGGAACCATAAAAGAAGGGTACAGCTTGGACCCCAAGGGACCTCCCATCCTCTCCACTTCTCTTTCTGCTTGAGGAAACAAAAGCTGGACCCTTCCCTTCTAACAAATTCCACTATTTATCCACAGTACAGTTCAAGTCTGAACTCTCACTTAAATGAAGTTTACCCAAGGTAGCAAAGAGCTAAACCACACAAGGCAGTGGCAATCGGGAAACTGGGCAAAAGAAGGCTATAGAGCCATGTAAATCAGGATGAAAGATAGGGCTAGAAATATGGCTCAGTGGTTAAGAGAAATGAGGTAAAGAGACACAGAGACAGAGAGTAGACACAAGAGGAAGACAGGAAGAGTCCTGTTTACCCCGGGGGAACAGCAGGAAAGAGAATGTAAGTAGGGGTGGGGGTGGGGTTTCTTCTAAGGGGGTCCTTTGCACCTGCGTGGAGACTACTCAACCATGGAACCCTGGGCTGACCAGGGTACTGCCTGAGTGCATTCTGCCATGTGACAGGGGCAGGCCAGCATGCCTGAATCCCTACACTCCTGCCTCACACTACCTGAGTTCCAGAATTACAGGAGTGCATCACCATGTCCAGTGTATTCAGGGGTAGCAATTGCCTTGCATGCTAGGCAAGTCTCTGTCACCTGAACTATATCTCCAGCCCAGCCTTTGTCTTTCTGTGGGCATATGTGGTGCTGTGAACTGAACCCCAGTCCTCAGGAATACTAGGTAAGCACCCTACTAACAACCCACATCCTCGGATCAAGGACCTTGTCTTTTGACTCTCTCATCTGTGTCCCAATTGATGGCTGAAGTCAGACACTCTGACATCTATGTCACAGCTAGTATCCAGTGACAACACAGAACAGAGAAGGAAAAACACTTTCTCAAGGTCCTCCCCACATTGGACAAGGTGTTCTTCCTTCCAGATGGTCTCAGTAAGCCTCTTGCTGGCTTTTTCAGCCATTTTGCTCACCTCACTGCCTCTTCTCCTCCTAGACTTTTTGTAGTTAGCAACAGGACCCCTCTTTAGTAAATGCAACTGGAGCCAGGGGGAGATCTTTGGTTCATAGGGAAGGACCACCCTGAATCACTTGTACTCCTTCCCAGAGGAGCCTGGGAAAGAGAAGAGGTCTTGTTCACAGTCAGAATCCCAACTACTACTTTCAGAAAGATTAGGGCTCCTGGACAAGTGAGAAGCCCTGGGCCTGGGCAAGCATCATGTAAACCCAAAACCTCTTTCTCAGCAGCTCACTTGTGTCTTGGCTCTTTTCTCAATAAGCCACCAGGCTACCTTGCTTAAGCAGCGTGAGATAACATAGGGTTGCTGTTACAAGATATCACCGGGGGAAACTAGGAAGGAGAATAACAGCTTGGGAGAGCAACTCAGGGTGCAGACAGGGAGACTAACATAGCAGAGTTGCTGCATTAAAGATAATAGTAGGTCCCACCCTCTTACAGTAGTGATATAGATGCTGTTTAAGAGGTGGAAAACCCCAAATGAGACCAAGACCAAATGCCCAGTGAGCAAACCAGGAGTCTATATGCAAATGCCTCCCAGGAAAAAGAAAACAAAACAAAAAGCAACTGTGTACTCCATTCCCAAAAGGGAACAGATTAACAGTCACCTACTCTCCTTTGGGGGCCAGCTGCCCTCATTCCCACACGGAGCCCTCTGGGTCTCTGCAGCAGTGTGTTGTTCTGGGCTGTGGTTACTTAACCCCACAACTTCTGAGCTAAGGTAGACTTCACTAACTGTGCACCCCAGAGCAATCCCACTGGGTCTGGCCTAGCTGGGAAGAGCAAAATCATTTCCACAATCACTGTAATAAATAGCCACCCGGGAAAATAATAAAGAGTGTATGTTCTCAGCTACTGTACTTGGCTCCAGCTTATTTATAATGGTGCTTTTCTTTGTCAACAGAGGGACAGTAGACAGATGAGAGAACAGGTGCCTGCTCCAAAGTCTAGGGTAGCCACTCTAGGACTTTGGGACTTTGGGTGGTGTGGCTTATTCTCTGCCAGTATCCAGAATCACAGCTAACAGATGCTCCCTGCCTGATTCACCTAGCCAACCCTGCACATCTGGGGCCATTTGCTCAGCTGGATTTGATCCCAGAGGAAATGAAAATTGCACTTATCCTCTGCCTTCCTGGTGGCAGCTATTGCTTAGCTGTGATTTAGGATTATCTAGAGACCCTGAGTCAGATCTATGGCAATGGGATAAAATAGCTTATCTCAATCACTGTTTTTCATAAATTCAAGAGAAATCAACGTAACATTTGCCTACTAAGTATGCTTTTTTTTGTTTCTCTGCTTCTCTTCCCTGCTGGGATTATCTCTCTTCCCTCACACTCCCCGGCTATGCATCTGGCTCAAAGCACTTCTTATTTTGCCTTAATCCAGGGCTCAGGCAAATAGGATGTGTCCAACCCCCAACTTGGAGAGTTATGCTGCAAACTGATGTACATTTTAAGCCCACAGGGTTGAGAGCAAACAGCATGAGATTGGCTGTTTTGGAGTACCTCACCCATGCCCTCTTCCCTAAGCATCTAAATATCTGTTTCCACAGGCCATACTCAACAGCTGTTATAAAAAAATAATAAATAAATAAATAAATAAATAAATAAATAAATAAATCAGTCTTTTTGGGTGGCTCAATGGGTAAAAGCATGTCATGCAAACTTGACCCAGGTTCAATTCCTAGAATACACATAAGAAGGCAAAAGTTGTCCTCTGTATCATACAACATTCACACTCAGACACTCTCTCACACACATAATAAATAACCAATAAATAAATAATAACACGAGTTTCCCCCAATAAGGCCTGTCCTGTGTGCAGCTTTGCTCAAAGGGCAGGTTTAGAGACACCAGAGTCAGACCATAATTTCCCACCCAATTCTAATCTGTTTTCACCCTACTCGAGACACAGTCAGACCAGATTACTTCTGACTTTAAGTGACAAAAGAAAATTTTAGCCTTGAGAAAAAAATTAAGTATGACAATTTAGGCTCTCCTGTTTCCTGTGTGTATGCGTTGCTGAACCTAGGGCCTCACATATGCAAATACTCTACCAATTACGCTGCATTTCCAGCAGGCTGTTTTTAAACAAGAACTCACACTGGATTGAGGAACTCAAAAGCACTTGGAATTCTGCTTGTCATGCCCAGACATCCCAGGACACTGAGCACACAAACCCCCACACCCTTCTCCAGACAGCCCTGGGGGAGCAAGGGACAAGCAGGGACTAGACTGCTGTTCTCCACACTGGCTGGTGCTTCCCAGTTATCTTTGGGAAGTCCAAGAAAATCAGAAACAAATCTTAATGACTGCCCTAAGTATCAACCCTGCCTTGCTCCCTGCATTCTCTCAAACTTCCTGAAAGACCAGTTTTCTTTCTTTTAATGTAGCCTTGGCCATCCTGGTCTTTGCTATGTAGACTAGGCTGGCCTTGAACTCACAGAGTTCCACTTGTCTTTGCCTGAGTGCTGGTACACTTCCTTGGTAGTCTAACCTAGCTGAGAAGAGCCCGGGTAAAGAGTTAATCTCCAGAGCCAAAAAGGTGGCAGTGGGGGGTGGGGACAAATCTAATAATTAAGAATAAGATGCGAAAAAATATTAAAAAAAAAAAAAAAAAGAATAAGATGCAAAGCCCGGTGGTGGTGGCCCTCAACTTTAACCCCAGCACTTGGGAAGCAGAGGCAGGTGGATATCAGAGTTTCAGGACAGCCTGATCTATAAAGCAAGTTTCAGGACAGCCAGGACTGTTGCACAGAAAAATTCTGTCTCGAAAAACCAAAATAAAATAAAATGCAGGGGGCTGGAGAGATGGCTCAGAGGTTAAGAGCACTGGCTGCTCTTCCAGAGGTCCTGAGTTCAATTCCCAGCAACCACATGGTGGCTCACAACCATCCGTTATGAGATCTGGTGCCCTCTTCTGTTGTGCAGATATACATGGAAGCAGAGTGTTGTATACATAATAAATAAATAAAATCTTTAAAAAAAAATGCAGGATGGGTGTGGTAATACCAGTAATACCCATAATACCAGTACTCATGAGGCAAAAGGGTCACTGCAAGTTTAAGGCAAGCCTGGGCTATATAACAAGTTCCAGGCAAAGCAGTTCTAGACCTTATCTCAAACAAAATGAAGTATACAAAAGCTGAAGGACAATTTTTTTCCCTTTGGATTTATATATATAATAAATAAGATCAAAAAATAATTTTAAGCCGGGCATTGGTGGCACCCGCCTTTATTCCCAGCACTGGGGAGGCAGAGACAGGCGAATCTTTGTGAGTTCGAGGCCAACCTGGTCTACAAGAGCTAGTTCCAGGACAACCTCCAAGGCAATACAGAGAAACCCTGTCTCAAAAAAAACAATACTACTAATAATAATAATTTTAAGCTTGGCGTGGTATCGCACTTTTAGTCCTAGCACCTGGGAGACAGAGGCAGGTAGATCTCTGTGAGTCTGGTCTAGAAAGCAAGTTCTAGGACAGCCAGGGCTACACAGAAAAACCCTGTCTTGAGAAAAAAAAAAAAAAAGCAAAACCTGCATCAGTAAATGTATTAAAAGAGCTTTTAAGCAATATTCTAGGCTGGAGAGATGGCTCCATAGTTAAGAGCACCTGGTGCTCTTGCAGAAGACTAAGATCCAGTTCCTTGCACCTATGTGGTGGCTCACAACCATCCATACTCTTGCCCCGGGGAATCCAACTCCACAAACATTTAGTGCACAGACATACATGTAGACAGGACACTCATACATAAATTATATATAATATATATATATATTTAAGTAACACCATTTTTTTTTTTCAAGACAGGGTTTCCTGTAGCTTTGGAGCCTGTTCTGGACTCGATCTGTAGACCAGGCTAACTTCGAACTCACAGAGATCTGCCTGCCTCT